CCACATTACTCCCAATCTTCTAATTCTCACCTAGGGTTCGTCCAAACCATAATCAAAAATTTTAAATTATAATAAAATCCATAAATCTAGGTTTAGAAGCTTGATTTAATTCCCCAAGGCCCTAACTAAGCCAATGAGTTCGGTCAAAACTCAAGGAAAACTAAAATCAACTCTCACTCTACCCAAAACTATCAAGAATTTGTACAAAAGGGAAAGGGAGAGGGATAGGAAGCTTATCAAATTGTGCAGTAAGCTCATAATGCCTCCAAAATGCTTACAAAATAAAGCCCTAGCAGCCATGAGCTCACTCTCAATTGCCCTTTTTGTTTTCTCTCTTTTTCTCTTCTAAAATCAGATGCGGCTTGCGTATGATTTAACGTAGAAATTAGTCGTTGCTCCATGGCACATGGCATAGCAAGCCCATCTATTGCTTTTGGCTACCCTCTCAAGCCTAATTAATTGACCTGAACTCCATCCAAGCTTATTTTCAAAGTTGTCTAGAGGTCGAATCACCACATTAGTAATCAAAAAATGTCACTAACTCATTAATCACTTAATTTTATTAATTTACCCCATTTAACCACTCAAAATTTAAAGTTAAAAATTGATGATGTTACACCATAGATATCAAATACCACTTTATTAGAGACATTATTGCAATTAGTGAAATTGTTGTGAAGAAAATTCATACATTTTAAAATCCTATAGACATACTTACAAAGCCTCTTCCTAATATAAGTTTGAACATTGCTTAGGTTAGTTGGTATTCACAACACTTGACTGCCATTTGGGACTATTTGGTAATGATGAACATTTTTGAATTTTAGTCAATTAAGAGTTTGTTAAGATTATGGTTCAAATTTCCATAATCTTTTATAATTAATTTTATATATTATCTTGGTTTAAATCCATTATATCCTTATTTGAAATTTCAAGAGATATTTATTATTATTTAAGATAATATTTTTAGTTGATGGGAAAGTCTATATATATCTTGTTTCTATATCACCTATAATAGGGATAATTATTGTAATTCTTATTTTTTATAATAAAATTCTTTGTTCATTGTTTGTGAATTTTAATTTTTTGTCTCTCATATTGAGAATTTTTTATGTTAAATTTCTTATGTTATCTTTTATTATTTTTTCTAACTTTTTTATATATAATTTTTAATTATTTTATCTTGTTTACTTTCTCCTATTATTTGCGCGTTTCGTAAGAATCAAAAAGCTAAAGCAAGACAAAGAAAGTAGAAGATAAGGCCGATATATTATTTAAAAAATTTAATACAGGGCGATACAGAAGATTAAGTCACATCACTTACCCGATTCATGCGATGCATGCAAACACGCGTCCCTTTCTTTGGACGTCCATATTTTGCATTAATCCTCATCACTTTTCTTTTTCTATGGTCCACTCAACCAAGTTAACTTTTTTACTCGCTCTGGTGCTGAACCTGCCACACAATTCTTAGCCGTGCATGTGCCCATCTTGACTAACGTCGGCTCTTCCCCCCTCTTTCTTCTTCTTTTGTCACTTCTTCTTCATTAACGTGACGTAACCCAAATACGTGTCTTCCATATTTACCATCCCGTGACTAATTCTTCAAGCTCGAGCTCTCCTTTCGTTAATTCCACGTATGAAGAATCCACACTTCTCTATCCTCCTACGTACGTAAGAAGCCAATAGGACCAATCCAGATTCCGCATGTTATATATAGCGTGTGATTTGGCCGCCAGATGGTCTGGCTGATGAGAGGGACAGGGATATGAAGTTTCTCATAAAGTGGTTTGGAGCAACTTGAACTGTAAGATCTGTAATATCATGTGCATCATGTTTTGTTTGTTCAGCCATCGGCATTTATTTTGACGTAGAACAACTTTTGCGATCTAGAAGCTGCTATCGTGTTAAATAACCCCTGCTTTGGGAAATTATTGCCAGTATCCTATATTACTGGTTGTGCTTCTTTCTTCGTGTGAGAACAGTGAGAAAGTAAACGAGGCTAGATATTTCGGGTTCGAAAAGCTTACAGGGGACAGATATTTCCAAGCTCCACTTTGAAATCTTTAGACTTTAGACTTCAAGCAGTGGGAGTGGGGTATTGATGCTGATTCTGCTTCAAAATGAACACTCTATGCCCCCACACCGCCCATTTGATAATAATTTATTTGCGTCAGGTAATAAATGTAAGATGTTTAACTAAAAAGGGAAAAAGTTATGCATATCCTTTAATTTAATTAATTTGATATATTATTCTCTCTATCTTTACACATGATTGTGTATTATTGACGAGGGTGGTAAAAAAAAAAGTGTTAGTTCTAGTAGATTATTACATTTGAAATCAATGTGATGTTCCTTATGGATTTCTCTTTTAAACATTTAACCTAATTATAGGGGTACGTCTTTATTTTTTTGCCCTTAGTAGATTCTAGAAAAAATTAAAAATAATTCTTTTTGTCCTTATTAAAGGGTAAATTTGAAAACTAATTAAATTTTAAGATAAAGTTATTAAGATTTAAAATTTTTCTTGATTCTAGTAAAATATGCTGGAATTGATTTATATATAGGATCAAATGGAGTATTTTATATAATATTGTCTCAATAAATACTATATAAATCACAATTTATTTTAATTATATATATATAACAGGAAAAATTAATCTTTTAGTCCTTTGACTTTTATGTCACTTGTAACTCAGTCCCTCAATATGACTCACTGTGATTCAGTCCTTTAACTATAACTTACCTATAACTCAGCTCCTCAACTTTTGAATTACTTACAAATTAGTCCCTTAACTTTTGTTATTTTTTTTATGTTAGTTTATATTTCACATCAATGAACAAGAGGAGGGTATTTTAAAATAATATATGAGCATTTTTTATCCCTCTTATTTGATAAGAATTTTTAAAAATAAAAAATAAAAAATAAAGACTGAGTTATTAGTAAATCAAAAGTTGAGGAACTGAGTTACAGTGAGTTATAATTGAGGAACTAAGTCGCAGCGAGTCATAATTGAGAGACTGAATTACAAGTAAGTTAAAAATTGAAGGACTAAAAGGTTAATTTTTCCTCTATAATATACTAGTTCATTGGAGTGACTTACACAGTTATATTAATTCAGGTTGAAACACTAGTTCACGATTCAATGGTGGAATTATAGTTAAAACAATAATAAGTTAATTAATATATTTTAAATAATATAATATTAAAATAAAAATAACCATTTATAATAATTAAAATAAATATTTAAATACAGAAATGTAATATATAGTAAGGAAAAATGTAATATTTATCAATACTCCATAGTTTTCATCCAATATGTGTATATGTGTTTTTAGAATGATACATATGAATGCATACCTATTTCTTGCATATTTGTTTATTTTTTCATGTCTCAATGATTAAACGGTATAAATTTGCATAGATTATGTTTTAGAAATATGAATTACAATTTTTTTCATCCATATGTATATATGGAACTAGTGACTGATTCGTTATTCAACTGATCCAATTCCCAAAAACTATGCAAAGAATACAATGAATATTATTTGTTACAAAAAGCTTAAATGAGTTAGATTTTAAAAATTTATTAAAATTAAGACGTATTTTTAAATTTAAAAAGTGCCTTTAAAAGTTTTTATAAATCACCTACTAATATATGAATTTTCATTAACAATAAGATTTGAACATGCAATCTTCTAAGGTCCGAATTACACCTTATCAACTAGATGAGCATTTGTTGAAAGCACAATGAATCAATGATACTTGTTAGAAGGATGTGGCTTTGTATGATTAACAGTCACAATCATAGTCTATTTGCCCCGGGTCCCACTGTGGAAATTTCCGAGGCTGGCCCAAGGTGCAGCAGAGGATATAGATATTGACTTTGGTGCTTAGAGCGCAAAAAAAAAAAAAAAAAAAGAAATATTATTTCATGGGTGCTAAAAATATTTCAGCACCATCATTTAATTATTTTTTCATTTCATCTATATGTTCTTTCTCTCTCACTCCTTCTCTAAATCCAATAAAATTATATTTCTATAATCCCAAACATTAGGAATTTGGCATAAGAATTCATCCAAATATATACCTTTTTCGAGTGAATAAATGATAATTTATTGAGTAAAATAAAAAAAATTATGCTTGCATTTTCTTTAACTTAAATTTCGAAATAATAATTTTTGATAAATAATAATAACCATACGAGAAACTCACCTAATATTTTATTTCAATTTGCAAGGTAGGGTTAAGATTTATCAATATATCTTTAAACTATTGATTCATGGTATACCAATACAATTTTCTAAGACAAAATTTGTGGCACCAATGTCTTTTTAGAGATAAAAAAAAAAAGAAGGCTGTTGAACTTCAGGGTCTTATGAAAGGATTGAGAATTAGTAAACAATATATAATTTCACTCATATTTAGTGTCATGTTGATTGCATAACTTTGATTCAGCTTTTGCAACAGGAATGTATGTGGGATCATCTACTTAAGCAAGAGGAACATGAAGCCAGATAGCTCCTATTTTTGCCTGAAGACATACATGTTCAATACTCTAATAAAAAGACTAATTTTGTGGTATACTACCTTACTAAGGAAGCACATAATGTGATTGATTGCCTTGTCTTTTTCAATACACCTCCGTTAAGTTGTCTTAGTTTCTATCATCTGGATAGAAAATGTGTAATCTATTTTGTTTGCTTTTCCTCTAGTGTTAAAAATTTTTCAAACCTAAGCTTGGTTTGTAATTTCAAAAAAAAAAAGAGATATCAAAAGTAAAATTAAAAGAAAGCGAAATGTACTTTCAATTTTCATCATTCCATCATAGATATTAAGTGTTGGTAAATCACTATTTACAGAATCCTCTCTTTATGTCAATGTGGGCTTTACTTCTTTCAACCACATCAATGGGTCGGCCCATCTATCCCGCATTAGTTGACATTGACCCAAGAAAATGGGCAAAGCATTTTTCCTTTCTTTTTTTAAATTGTTTTTAAAGAAAGGCATGGCCAGATGAAAAACCTTGAAGGAGGAGCCTCATAAACCCTAGACGGGGTTCCCGGAGATTTAAAGGATAGGGAAACCGAAAGTGGAATCAGATATGTCGGACAGAGAAGACGATAATGACGCACCCGAAGAGTTTACAGCCGAGCAGGTATCTTTGCTTTTTTCTTCATCCCTATGATTCAACTAATTGGTATGGGGTAACGGAGACTTCATAATTTTGCGTTTCGCAGGGTGTACAACAAGAAGAGGAGATAAGGAAAATTCAGAAAGAAAGCAAAGTGAGGTAGTACCCTTTGTATAATGAATTTGATGTTTGCTTGATTGGAAGATATGGGAAAGTAGAATTTTGACACAGAAAGTTTCTCATCAAGTATATTAACGTAACTTGCATGAAACATTAGCCACATTGTACTTCCAATCATGATGCGAATGGTAGTGTCCAGGGCTTTCAGTTAACTCGTCTGCAGTAAATCTTACTTTCAATCCTCGTTATCTCGATAATTTCATGCTTGACCCAAATATACTAGGTTTTAACAGATTGAATAGAAAAAAGAAGTTAAAATCGAAGTGAGAGTGAATTCAGCATATTCTGTTGATTTTACCATGCATTCATTACGTTAGCTGGCATCGAGTTGCTTTATGTCCTCGAAGAATTAGTATATTGTGTCCTTTAGGATGGAATTGATTTGGGTATTCGCTCAGGGTATCTAGAAGGCCTTTCAGTTGGAGTCTAAGAAACTAGTGTGAGTTCCATGCATTTTTGCAGGCTCAACATGAGCAGTTACATCTTTTTATATTACACTCTCTCAAGTAATAAATGCATGTTGGATTTCCTAAAATACCTCTCCTTCTAATAATTTATACTGACTATTATTCACATAGCTTGTACGTTTTACAAGAATCTAACTATTGTAGTTTGGGGTTAAAAAAAAAAAAAAAGATACAGGAGACAAAGGAGATTGAGGCCTTAAATTTAGGACCAAAACAGATCCCCTCAACTAGCTCTTAAATTTAGGACCGGAGGTAGTATTGATGAATTGATTAAAGAATGCATTTTCACTCAAGAATGCAGCCATTTATGGAATTTTGGACAGATTGCTATTGGATACCATGGATCATTATTTACTAGGGCCTTGCAATGGAAACTTAAGCCTCATGAGAGGTTGATGTTTCTTGTTTTGAACATTGGATTTTTATTTTTGTCTAGAGAGTATGATTTGTTAATTAAAATAATGTAATGGAAATCCATGGGTGGACACACACAACCTTTCAAGGGATTTGTGTCAAAATTAGGCATTTATTGAACTGTTTCTGCCAGTATCTTTTTTTTTTTTTTTTGTTACCACTTACTGCTCCTTTTTCTTTGCTGAATCCTAGTTTAAGATATGATATCATGCTCATCAACTGTTGAAGTCAGTAGTGGACGCATTAATCATACTTGCTATGGTATTTAATATGAGTGTGCTGCCTTGTAGGCTTATCCGTGAAAAAAAAGAGCGTAGGAGAAAATTGGCTCAGAGGTTAACACCTCGACCATCCAAATCCAGCAAAGACTCCCAAGATGTATCGGAAACTGAAACTGAAACTGAGCAGGTATCAACAGAAGATGCAGGATTTCTTCCGGATGACATTGTCCAGATGCTTGCAGCTGGAGAGAAGTATGGCATAGTTTTTTCATTTATCCCAAATATGTATGGTTGTTTGTATAAAATCTCTCACGAAAGGGCTCTAATTTATTTGCAGACAAGTTTTCCCATCAGACTCCAATGATGACGGAGCTAAAGTTGAGCCTACTTTAAGGAAGAAAAAGTCGAAGAAAACAAGGTAAAGTTTTCATTATTTCCATCCTGACTCATTGATTCTCTGCTTAGTGTTTTTCAATATTAAGTTGTGTTGTGTACCTTCTGTGATCTGCAGTTTGGATTATGATGGTGATTCTGTCATTTTGGACGACATTGGGCCCCCTCCATGTTTACAGAGTTCCTTGGAATTCTTGAAGAGAAGGAAAATGGAGGTTTCAAGATCATCTTCAGTTTTGAACAATTCCAACAGAGCATTACGTCTCCTTACTAGCTCTGGTGTTCTGGGCCGAAATTGAGGATTTGTTATCATCCATTTTCTATCATAATACTTATACGCAACTGTCCCGTTTCTTTTGTAATGCTATTATCTGTAGTTAACAGGAACAGAGGCAAAGAGATTTTCTTGAAATTCTTTAGCTCTTAGCAAATTGCAATCGCTGTTGGTAATGCACCGCGGGTTCTACCTCTGGACTCTTGGGCACTAATAAAACATGTCACTCTATCTGACGCTTAATCAAGCTAATATAGATTTGTTGAGTGAAAAAAATTTAGGAATTTCTCAAATGGACTTACAATTTTTGGAAATTTTTGTTTACTAATAGCCAAACTACGTTCACCAAAGTAAGTATACTCAAATGTACTGTTGAAATTCTAAAAGCTAAATCCAAGCGTCCGCGTACTTTACTCCTGGTATGCTGCTCCTAAGTCCTAGCGTCTTACTTTTTATGGCCAGGTAAAAAAGGGGAACCCCGCGGCGAAACCAGAAACAGGGCGAGCAATTGATTAGTAAGGTTTAAAATGACAATTGGAGGAAGTAAGAATTGGAGACGAAAATGGGTTGACGAGTCCTAACGTTAGGAGTGTTCAATCTGAACCCGTCTCGATTAGTCCGGTATCATTCCGATCATATAGGGATGAGTTTTGTCCTGACTCGAAAATAATCGGGACGGAACTTTACGGGACGGGACAGGAAAGGGGTTCGGGACGGGACGAGACACGGGATTACCATCGGGACGTCCCGTCCCGTCCCGAATATTAAATATATTATTTTTTATTTTAAATATATTAATTATATTAATATAATTTATACTTATATTAATTATATCAATTATAATTTTAATACTTACAATTCTTATTTAAAACTAAAGTGTTTTTATATTGATAATTTTAATGGTATGGACTAAACATGGCGATATCTTTTTTATAATATATTAATTATATTAATATAATTTATTCTTATATCTATCTATTTAATAACTTTTATTTATAACATATTTTTTACTTATTTTTAGAAGAGTAATTAGCTTAGTACATCTTCACTAAAGTAGAAGAACAATTATTTGATGTTGTGTTTGACTTGCCTGTTTTTGCAAATCTTATAGCATAAAGATCACTTGTATTTTTTATTATAATATGTAGTTGTGATTAATATAATTCAATAATTAATTTTAAATTATTGTTATTTATGTACTTGTATTATTTTGATTTTAAACTTAATAAATTATATAATTTAAAATTTTAATGAACATTATTATCCAGATCTTTTTTCGATATTATTTCATTTATCGGGACTGCGGGACGTTCCGATCTTGTCCCGGTCCCATCCCGACTCTTAAAGAGACGAGATGACTTCAGGACGGGACGGGACACGGGACCAAAATTCAGTCTCGATCTTTTTTTCGGGACGGGACACGGGATGGGGGTGTTCCGGTCCTGTCCCGTTCGGTGAACACCCCTACCTAACGTCTTAATGGCACATTTTGCGTTCCGTGCCCCTAATTTTTTGACAGGGATATATACTTTATTTTTTTCTTTAATGGCATGGCATATCATGTACTTCTTCCGGTTTCATTTATAAATCACATTTTAAAAAATCCATTTGATATTATTTATAAGTTATGATATAACTTTTTAAATAATATTCAAACAGTATTTTTAAAATTATTCTTTATGAGAGAGAAAAAAATAACACATTACTTTTTAAATTTATTATATAAGAACATATTTGAAATTCTAGACACTTTAATTCCTTGTATTTTTTTTATATTAACATTGATGATATTGGTAAAAATGACTTACAAAAAAACTGAAGGAGTACTCTTAATAAACTTTTTGCATAGTATTTAACAACATGATCTTTAGTCGTCTCACTTAACTCACTGCGTGCATACTAATTATAACTCTTTAAACAAAATTATTTTTTGAGGTTAGAAATATCTTCGTTGCCAGAAAATGAAAGTCCAATTGTGAGAAAGAGAGATTAATCTCCTTTTATGTGCGCGTGCGCGTATTTTTACCAACAATCAGGTTTGAAGCATGAAGCATCATCCTAACTATGTTTGATCCATACGTAAAGATTGGAAAGTGAACATACTGATAGAAAAATCTCAGGCATTCATGTCAACCTAAGTTGTAGGTACATATTTAAAATTTTTTAGGCCAGTATTTTAATTTTAATTTTAATTTCATTTCAAACAAGAATTTGTAAAATAAAGCATGCTCTTTTTTTGACCAGCATACTTGAGAGCATGCTCAGGTAAAATATTCATTTAAACCCAAGAAGGGAAATGCAAATTTTATGGGCCGAGCAAGATGGACAAGCGCCCCTGGTCAATACAAACAGACGAGGATTTTATTTATTGTCGTTCTGGTCAATATAACTAAGTAAGAAGCCGCTAACTACTCTGCGGGCTACCGGATTAGGAATGCACCGACAAAGACGTCCATCGATATATGCCAAAATGCCTGACAAGACGAACTTAGTAATTCCCCATTTCTGAATGAATCTCATGTTCTGCTTCTTTACAATCAAGCTCGGTGAGTTGGGTGCCTCATTGTCAGATTGTGACTTCTTTGCCCACTTTAGGTTTAGGCTGGAAATAAACTTGTTAGCCTGCCCTCTCAGCATGCGAATTGCGAAGCTAACGAAGAGATGTTCAAACAATGTCATCAATGTTGGCCCAATTTTCCATTCCTGCACGAAATCTCTGTACGGATTAGTTTGCTTGCAACTGGGAATGCAACTTGAGCAAGTTGTTCCAGAAATAAGTGAAAAATACAGTTTTCCCACTCTTAGATACATTCCATGCGCAGCCAAGTGACGCAGGAATGAACAAGGATTCATTAGATTGGGCGTGCCAATTAATCCAGTCACTTGCAACATTCATTCCGGAAATTATTTTACGTCCAATTGATAAATTCATGTAGCTAAGGGTTAATCTGCATAGCTGACAAAAATAAGTGCTCCGACAGTGAATTTTATGGATGTAACATTTGAAATGTAGCTAAGGGTTAATCTGCATAGCTGACAAAAATAATTGCTCCGACAGTGAATTTTATGGATGTAACATTTGAAGCACCTCCAAATTAACAAATTCAACCCAGGGTTCTTGGGTAAGAACAAATTTTGGGTGTCTCCCGTTGGAATTAACAAAGAAAGGAAAGACAATATTACCATAAACATGCTCACAAAAATAAAACTTACACTTTTTCCACGAAGACGACGCAAAGGGCGGGAAGTGGTTGAAGGATCTCCTTTGATCAATGCCTTATTAACAAGGAACTCCTTTACACGATCCATGATCTCATTAATGAGGGAATGATTTGGAGGTAGGTTTTTAAGGATAACCTAGACACGTAAAGTATTCCATCAAATCCAGATAGTATAGGATCTACTAATCAATGGCAGCTAATTTGTATACTTCAGGGTATCACAATAAAAAAAAAAAAAATATTGCACAACACATCTGATCATTCTATAAACAAGGATATCTTGTTGAAATTCCATTCAATGTACTCATGCTTGGTAGATAATTTTTCATGCGTCCTTACCAACTACTTGCAGATTTATCTATTACCTGGTTGTCAATAACTCTGACTCTCAGGTATTCCTGTCTATAAACAGTATCCAACATGGCTTGGATATATCCTTCAATATATAACTGCATTAGAGCACACATCTAATTAGTAATCGATAACATCACCAATGCTTTTCACTCAAGGTGAATACAACAGGTCAATATTTTTGTTATTAAAATATGCCTCTCTGAATTCATTTGAAAGTTTAAAATAGTTCTTCCAGCTTCTTTTTTCTTTTATTTTAAACACTACCATCTCAAGATTTTTTTTGTGCGCGCATGTTTGTAGACATCACCAATGCTTCCCACTTAAGGTGAATACAACAGGTCAATATTTTTGCTATTAACAGATGCCTCTCTGAAATTATTTGAAATCCCGAAATAGTTCTCCAGCTTCCAGCTTTTGTTTGTTTGCGCGCGCTACAATCTTAACAGTTTGTCAATCCAGCCATCCCCTATTATATGTCATTTAAATGGAAGTAAAGGAATGCATCTATGCATACACAGAAACTTAAATACAGTGTTCACGACCTAAGGGAATGACAAAGAAGTTCGTCAGCAGTCATATGAAGTCTTCTAATACCATGGGCACAGCATAACAAAACAAATCATGTAATACCTCGTCAACTCCTGGACTTTGATCAAGTATGATCTTTCTATCTGGACCGCCTTCCATTAGTGCAGTTCCCAGAAATGATGGCTCCATAGCCAATTTTAGTATTCCTTGATGAAACCCGCTCACCTTTAAAATATAAATGGTCAAAACATATTATACTGAATAGGTCCATGTTCCAATAAAATTATGAATAAACAAAACAAGGAAGCAATTGAGTACCATTCCGTTGAAACCAGTTGCCTCTGCTCCTTTAAGAACAGAGTCTGATATTTCAGCTACAGCTGTAAAAACTACATTGGAACCTGCGGATCTCAGCTGCAGGACCAACATCAATTGATCGTTATGCTAAGACATGAGTATTACATCTGCAATTGAAAATTAAGTTTGCGAACAACAAAGAACTAATACATACTGTTTTCCCAAGGTCACCAAAGTAGCGTCTTGTCCCTGAAAAGCCTTCATTTTTGATGCATTTACTGATAAATTTGAAAGTACCTGGTCCACAAATATATATATATATATATATATATAATTTGGAGGAGAAAGTAAGGCCCTTGTTCATAGCGAAGTAGGAAAGGGAATCCCATTAGAGTGCATACCAATCAAGTTATGAAATATTTATTATATCCCTATTATTATTATTATTATTATTATTATTCAACAATATTTATTTCTTTTTATTTTTCTTTTCATCCAAAAAGACATTTTTACAAAATTTCTTTTTTCATCCAATTCTGCATGCCAAACGACCATATGTAAATAAGGACTAGCATCCTTACATTTTATAAATATACATAATTTATTTAAGAAAATTTGCTAATTCTGTCGTGGTTTGAAAGGGTCCTTATTAGCTCCAATATATACATGGGAGACATACTGTTCAGGTGTATTAGAGCAGTTTCGAAATACAGATGGAAGTGTTGTAGGATAAGTATCAGCTAGGATGAATGGTGTTGAGATAATTTTCCCAGATTCTTCCCTTTAACACTCCCTTTCAAATTGTGATGCTCATCCCATAAGACTCGAGGTTTTTCAACAATCCTTTTCATCTGTCTAGCAAAAATTTCATCTCAGTATAGGCAGTGAGTTCAAAGAAATAATTTTGAAAGAGAAAACAGCTCTCAGTTCCAAAGGATATTGAATCTCCAAAAGGGGCAAGGCCAGAAGGTAGCATAGTATGATTCAGCATAATCATCACCAATTAGAAAATAATTTCAAGCATGCTTTGAAAAACCTTCTGGTTACAGCTATTTAGTCTAAATCCACTGCTCATCAATTCCCTTAAGATAAAGGACATTTCCCCTTTGGCTCTCAGATTTCTCAACTAAAATATTATTACACCACAATACAGCAACTTGAAGCTCTCACGAGATACTTCAAGTTAACCATGAATCATCAATTTCAGAAGATAAACTAAAAGTGCCCCAGCATTTGCAAAATCTTTAAAGCTTAATAAAATTGAGACCAATCAATAAAATGTAATTGCGAGGTTTTCAAGTCTCAATCCCCCTTATTAAGACAATCTAACTTCTATGAAAAAAGAAAAATTGCAGCAAAAAGACATGAAAACTTGAGCTATTCATGATCATCATGATAATTACAGTTTTAGATTTAGCTATAAATCCTCGCAACACTTAGCGTCAATATTTCCTGAGTTTAAGGAGGGAGATCACGGAAAAAGCACAAAGGGGAATTTGAAACCTGTAGGACGACTTTAGAAGAAATAGGAGCAGGATAGAGACTTTGCATGAGATATACCTAAGGTCAATCCTGGAAGATTCATCAACCCACGGGATGGATCAAAGAAGACATCAAGAGAGGATGAAGCCAAATCATCAAAAATAGAAACAAAATCGGGTGGAAGCAAAGGGCTTCCTTTAGCAATATACATGGCCCTCATAGCATACCTGAATAAAATTGTCAATTTTCAGCCATGACTAGGTGCAATTCCTCAATTCAAAAGGGAGTATGTCATAGGCTTTACCAAGAATAATGTTGTGCACATTTGATTATTAGTTCACGCACTGTTATCAAAGCATGGCTAATCAGGACGCCATTCAGTTCTACAACCATACCTTTCATGGGAGGAACCTGGAAAGAGAGAGAGAGATTAAGGTGCAATTAAGGTACAACACGACTAATTACATTGTCACCTAGAATTTCTTTTAAAAAATTGATGAAGTATGCCAATCAAACCTTAATCACACTATGAAGAAAAGACCTCAGAGTTTCCTGTGCTGAACTATAGCATGAATGTGAATCCCCAGGAATAAAGCTTGCAGTGATCTACAAAGTTGAAAGTCCACGCATCACGCAACAGTTACAGAAAATATTCAAGGTGAAGGGAAAAAATTGACAACATGAAAAGAATGAAACCTTTATTGGATGAATTTCAAAATGATCAAAGTAAAACCGCTGACTCTCTGAGTTGCTGAGAGATCTTCTCCAGAATGAAGCAAGTTTCATTAATGTCTCCTCATCAAGGTTCAAATCAATTGGCTGCACTAACCAAGGTGTTTAATCATATATGACTACGGCAAATTTTAATATGAATCTTTAGCAGCAAACAGGTTTAGGGTTTATTCCCTATCATTGAATTGTGATGACTTTAACAAACAAAAGTAGTTTAGGTAGACAAAAGAACAACACAAAAAAGATCCAAAAGATCAAAAGAGAATAAAATGAAACTGTCTTTTTCAACTTTACCTGAAGAAAAATAGATGAGTATCTAAATTGCTTAATCTTTGAACTGGAGGTCAGTTGGACAAAAACAACCTTCAGTACACTATCATTCGAATCACTGTAATCAGATTGATGTTTGCGAAGCATTGATGCAAAAGGAGCCTCATTCCACTTAAGTTCCAAATTCAAGTACTGGATCAATAACAAAGGATGAAAATCAATAATTATTTGACTGGGAAATTAATTGAGAATCTGGAAGATTTGTTCTAAAACATAAAGAATAATGACTCGTAGAAGTCAGATACGCAACAGGATTAAGCATACTTAATTCTGGTACCTGTATACTGAACTGATTATATTTCTGATGATTATTAGAAACAGTACTCAAGTTCAGATTCCCAAGCTTTGCGACTAAAAATGGTGAAAAATCTGTGGGATGATTCTCGTCCACTTCCTTCACAAAATAGTAACATTAAGAATATTAGAAATGTTTCCCCATCACACACACAATTGAAGGATAAAACAATAAACGGCATTACCATACCAGCTATGCTTTCAATGAGATGTATTGAATAATCTAACATGATCAAGTAGGGTAGGGGAAGTCTCCGCCCTTTTCTAATGGGACATGCATTTCATAACTATAAATACCTACTTATTGTGATAACAGCAGCGTTTGGAATTTGATCACTGATGCTGTTACCCATGTGAAACCCTGAATTACAAATTTACATAAAATGTCCTTCTTAAGTTCTATTTTGCATTTTTAGAATAGATAGACGTAAGTATGACGTACACACTGAGCAATACAAACTATATCCAAAAAAGTAGGAGCAATACACATTTATGTTCCAAATCAAATTATTTTAAGTAAAATTAAGTCACGCACATATTTGGAGGCCTAAACCACAATCATAGAAAAGACAAGTTAAACAAAAACTACTAGGTATTAACTATTGATGGACTCAAGCACTCAATCAAAATGTAAATACCTGTTTTGCAGGTTCAAGTAAATGGATAGCAAACTGGGAAATTCTAAAGTGCATTTTTGCACACAAATCAAGAACTGTATCTCTCTTGAAACTATCAGAGATCTCACAAATTCGCAAAACGCGCGTGGGTCCCTCTGCATATATTTCATACCCAATGTTTTCCATCTCCATGCCATTAAGCCCACCAAAACTTGCACTCTGATCCCTTTTTTTGTCCAGAAGCAAACGTGGAGCCAACGCTCTTTGTTGCCCAGCTTTGTAAAATGGTTTCCATGACCGCACCTTATCCAACTTGATTTCTCGTAACTGTAGGCTATCTGTAAGAGAAATCAATACCGTTATTAGATGTAAACCTAAACATTCTAGGATCAATAACCCACAATAGTTCCACCAACACAAAAAAATAAAAGGAAAGGGGTTAACAAAAACATCAAAATAATGCAAAAATAGTGTTCCTTACTTTCTCTATTTAGTACATACATGATGACTAAGTTATGTATCCAAGGGTCAAGTCTGTAATCCAAATCACATGGATCATGACCACAAGGAAAGCACAGGTAAAATAAAAAAATAGTAGATATTGACTTTAAGTAGCATCTCTACCACGCAAAGCATGTGGGGAAAATAAATATCACTCAAGCATATCTGATAATAAACTAAAGAAAAGGATGAATTGTTTCAAACAGGTACCGTTAATGCGGACAACTAGTCTATGAGGAAGAGTTAAATCATCCCAGACATAATCAGCACTGGTAGCAGATCCAAGAACCTCAGGCTCTGAGGAACCCTGGACAGTTCTCAATTGATGTAAGGGGAAGAAAAATACAAAGTTAAAAAATTATCAGAAAATGTGAAACAGATATGCAAACAGGACAACCTTCTGATAGTAAGTTATGGATAAATTGTGCAAACAATTCTCAATCCTATATGGTAGACTCAGATTTGGGGATTTGTAGAAATGCAAAACAAGAGTAGAGCCTTCTTCCACTACATGAATAGCAGCAAATTGTGTCATGTCACGGTCTGGTGTTGTCAAATTGTTAGTTATCTTTCTAAATTTCAGGAAAAAACGTCCTAGTGAAGCTATGCAAACAGGCCCCGACCATCCAAATCCAGGATCTTTTGTTTTAATCTGAACATACAGCCAGGACTTGTCACTGGAGCTTCTGTGCTTCCTAATAAAATGATCAAATAAACTGAACTCTCTGTCCCTGCCAAAACCTTCCTTTAGCTGCAGTGTTGTTTGCTGTTTACTGTCAATGGAGGCAATGCCCGCCAAGTCATCCTTCACAATCAGAAAAATCAATTACATGTTTTTAAAGAAAAATAAGCATTCACATTATTATTTATAAAATCAAACCTGAAAGTAACATTGACGGACAGTGATACATTCTTCTGATTCATTACAAATGACATATCGTGGCACCAAAGTCACTGTTTGTGATGGCACAACAATTTCCCCTGAAGAAGGGCCAGTAGACACACCAAGCTTTATTATAGATTTGATCTCAGATCCTTCCTCTTTGTAAAATCTTATTTCTGCAAGGCCTGATAAAGAATCCAAGTCTAATAGTGCCTCAGATTTATAGTCCTCCAGCAATCTAAGTTGCACTTTTTTGGATCTGAAAGCAGAGTTGCATAAAATACTAAAAAACTCATGCAAGTTTAGGAAATCTTAATGGAAAGCATTAATTAGGCACATCAAGTCCATTGAGTGATGGAAGATTAATGATCTTACTTCAAGAACCATGATCTGGTAGACTTAGGAGGCAAGAACAAACCAAATTCCCAAGGACTGCTGGAATTTAAATTGTCCAATTCAATCCTGCATACAGGTTTCCATCCAATGGATCAAAAATAATAAAAGGGAAAAAGAAAAAAAGAGTTTAATTTTACTAATAACTCGTTGAAAGAAAAGGATTCACCTGGACAGATGCTTCTTAGTTGGAAAAACATAGATTGGGAAGTCTGTCTCATTTTTCATGGCATATGATGTAAAAACAACAGCCTGCAGCCAATGCAATAAATATACAGCATATTAAACCAAGTCCTCAATCATGCGATAAAAAATAAGCTATCTCCAAAACTGGAAATAAACAAATACTAGCGTAATAACCTCTAGCATGCCCCTGTTTCCACGATATAATCTCAATGCTGCAAAAAATTTTCCACCATCAAAATCCAAAATTATATCCAGATATTGTGCATCACCATTTTGCTTCAGTAACCTCTTCACACAATCACCACTATTCACTGGCTTGGAACTCGAATTAGTAGCAGTTAAAGCAATGGTGAAATATATAACGGCAGGATTGGCATAAAAGTCAACTGTGGTTCCACATGATATCTTTGCTTGTTTTCCAATATTGTCAGTTCCATGAAGGTTGGGCTGATCTACACCACAGAAAAAAGAATGCACACATTAAGTCTTCTGGAAAGTTAATCTGCAAAACAATCATTGTCTCACCTGTTTCACTTAAAAGGACATCTATCTCAGAGTGCAATAAATTGGTCATCCGTATAGTGGGAAGAATGTATATTTCTTTCTGCTCTTGCAATGAAACTGGTGAGTTTTTATTTTTAAACACAGCTGAGGACTTTTCAGGTGGCGCAACAGGGACATCTCTCGCAATTGTCTGAATGAGAAAGTGCATATTGCCAACATCTACTCCCTCCGACTTGAGGGCGCAGTGAGCTGTGCTAAAGGAACATTTAACTGATTTTACAAATAAGGCCTTACGGACTTTGTAGTTTAACTTATCAAATATGCCAGAGAGACGGACTGCTTTTCCACCTTTAATGCAATCTGACCATCCCACAGAAAGAGAACTTTCTGAATTTGTCATGTCATCTGTCATTTCAGGTCTTAATGAAAATAAGAAGTTGCCTGAAATTTAATCATTAAGCCACATCAGTCTCAGTAATCAAGATACAAGATCGTGATAAAATTGGATGCCTTAGCAAAGAAGATAATGAATACGTATGATGACCAAAACATTGATATGCAAGAAAAGAAAAATAACTAATGACAAAAAGATTTTTATTTTATTTTTTTCAAATCAACTCAACCCTGTTGATTTTTTTTTTCATTTGGGCGCCTTTAACTTTGTTGGGTGTTAATATCCATGAAAACAAAACATTTAACCATATTTTAACCTTAACCGTGCTTCAATTAAAACATGCTACTCTAAATACTATTCAAGTTTTACTGATTTAAAAAGTGAACTTTTTTTTAAAAAAAAATTTAAATTTGGAAATCAAGATTTCAACAGGCCTCCCTTCTCTTTTGCATGAATTCTGAAATCTTATATTTACAACCAATCAACATGAATCAAGGGGCACTTTTCTTAAGTCATTTAGTAGGATCAGGGCGTTATTGTAAAGTGATTAGTTCATATGTAGGTGAGAGGAAAGCAAGTGAATTCTCGCACGGATAAAATATTAAGAAGAAGAAGAAATACTAGAAGAATATAAGGTGGTTTTGTGGAAGTCTAAACATTCATCTTCATCGCTTCTTCTTCACCTGTTGTCTAATAGAATAGTGAGGGTGTGTGGCAGGTGGGTTAAACAAGTATTCGATTATTAGTCAGTGGCAGACCTGGGACCCCATGCCAGCGATATATATTTTAAAAATAACAAATAATAATGACTGTCATTATATAAAGCTAAATATATAAATATTAAAATTATACTATAATTATATGAACGTATGCATTTATGTGATTGAATAAATTAGATGCCTTATAATTACATATTTTTATTTTTAAAAAAATATATTTTCTGTTGTAAATTTGAAAAATTTATAATCCTACTATCCTAATATTTTTGTCAAACATCTTATTATCTTACAAAAGTTTAGTTAATTATCAATAATTACATGTGGCTAATGATATCATAAATTCATGTCCATGATTTAAACAACAACAACAAGCCTTATCCCACTAGGTGGGATCGGCTTGTGGCTACATGGATTGTATGACGTCATTTTGCTCTATCATTTACCAAGTTTTTAGAAATGTTGTTAACTACGAGATCTCGGTAAACAACTTCAAAGTGTTCTCTTTAACATTCTTCTACCCCTCTTAATAGGGCTCAATTATTTGTTCCACTTTCTTCATTGGTGCCTCTCGTGGTTTTCTTTGTACATGTTCAAACCATCTCAAACGATTTTCAATGATTTTTCCTTCAACAGGTGTTATGTCCACTTTTTCTTGCATATGCTCATTTCGGATATTATCTTTACATGTATGTCCACACATCCATCTCAACATTTTCATATTTGCTATTCCAACTTTATGCTCTTATTATCCCGTCAAAATTCAACATTCACTACCATATAACATAGCTGGTTTTATAGTAGTTCAATAAAACTTCCCTTTCAGTTTAGTAGGTACCTTACTATTAGAGTCAGGAATAAGAGTTGGGCTTGATAGGCTGCCCATTTAAACCCATTTTTATAAAGGTTCGGGCTTAAAAAAATGTCATTTTTAGGGAAATCAGGCTTTGAAGCCTAGCCTTAATAGGCCCTAGAAAAACAAGCTTGGATTCCTTTTTTCATTTTAACTCTAAAAAATTAAATATTTTTATTTTTTTAATTGAATTTAAAATTTAAAATATATGTTTATACTTTAAGATTTAATTTTCTATTATTTATTTTTAACCTTTTAATATTATAATTTGTATTTTAAAAATATATGAAATATTATAATTGAAATTTTTAACTTAAAAAAATTCAAAAATAATAATAATAAAGGGCTTGTGGGCTAGGCCTTTAGCCCTTTAAATCAGGGCCAGGCTTTAGAAATCAAAAATTTTTTGAAAAGCTATGGGCTCGGCCTGCCCGTTTTTCACCTATACTTATGATGACAAATAGCTTCTTTAGCCTTTATCTAATTAAACCACCTAACTTGTATTCTATGTGCAATATCCGTATCAAGTTTCCCATCACGTTGAATAATAACTTCTAAATATCTAAACTTTTTCACTTGAGGTATACTTTAATTTCTCAATTTCACTTGTAAATTACCACTAACTGAACTCTAATTAAAATTACAATGCAAAAATTCCGTCTTACTCTTACTCGAGTGAAAACCTTTTGGCTACAATGTCCTCATCCATAACTCAAGTTTACAATTAATCTCTTTTTTTTTGTCTCCACAATAAGAGCTATACCATTGGCAAAAAACATGCATTTGGGAATTTCTTCTTGAATATACTCGGTCAAAATATCTAGGAACAGGTCAAACAAATAAGGACTCAAAAATGATCCTTAATGTAGTTCAATCCTTATAGGAAAGTCCTTTGTTTCATCGATAGGCATTCTTATACTAATTGTTGCCCTCTCATCTATGATTTAAACAAATACATAAAAAAAAAATTAAAGAATTTTACTAAAACTATTTGAGTAAATGAATGACTTTCATTAAAATAAAAAATGGATGAATGGAAGGATCAAAATTAAATAAGATACAAGTTGTAGCAAGTGCATATTGCATATAATATCAATGGCTTAATTAAATAATTAAAAATACCACTTGACTAAAATGCCAAAACCCTAGGTCTTTTATACTCTTCTCTATAACTTAATTTGGTGGGTCTTCCTTTCTCTCTCATAGATTCTTTTTCATTCTTTCTATACTCTCTTGTCTCCAACTCTGTCTCCTTCCCTTGTTATCCATCATTCTCATCCCTCTAGATCAACTAGAAATTCCATGCTTTTGCTGTTGTTTTAGTTTGAGCTAGCTCTTTCTCGTGGGTTCAAATTTTACAAATCACCAAGGGCATTATAGAAAGTTAGTATCTATACCTAAGCAAGCTATTAAAACTTAGTGAGGGCATCTTCCCCCATTGAATTTTTAGTGAGCTAGGTTATACTAGTTGCAAAGCCCTTGTGCTTGACCTACTTAATTATTATATCCATTAACAAAGAGCTTGGCTTAGTAAGTTATCAATTGAAATCTCAATCATATTTCTCTTTCTTAATCTCTTTAATATGGTATCAAAGCTAGGTTTGAGGGGAAGTAAAGTGTCAATAGCTCTTCATTTTCAGAGCACAAGCAACCACTTTCTAAGGGAACATTAGGCTTTTGTTCCTCCAATATAGCTTCAATTTCCTATTTGATCCCGCTTCTAGTTATGGAAACATTTTTCATTGACTAAAATTGTTTGGCATATTCCTTTTGGACAAAATAGGGTCTGATTGGAATCGTATTCTTTTGAAAAGCATACTTCCTTTAATGGAATAACAGCTTGCCTTCCTAAGGGCCAACTTGTGGACCTCCAGCAAAAACACTAGTGTGCCAAAAAGTGTGAATTGGCCTCTTAAAATCCTTTTAACCTAGGTCATGCACCCATTATGATATGATTCTTCCCTAGCTTTCCCAATGTATTTATCCTAAGTGGTTTCATTGTTTTACTTTAACTTTAATTTGTTTAATATTTTGAACAAGTTATTATGAGGCTTTGGATTGTGATTTAGAACCTTAAGTCATGTTAGATATGCAAGAAAGGAGACTCTGGAAATGGAGAAGGAAGGTTCCTATCATTATTATGTTTGGTATGCAGCAACTTGCTTCCTATGGAATCCCTATTTCTATAATTTGATGGAAGTGGGCTTCTATGCAGCAACTATACAGCAACTCCGCCTATGTTTATAGCCGGTCCCAAGTCCGGGTAAAGGAGGAGGGTTGTGTTAGGCCATCAACAGCCAATGTAAAACTTTGTTGAATCTATCATGAAAGCCGACCCCACCTAGTGGGATAAAGGCTTGTTGTTGTTGTTGATGGAAGTGGGCTTCTATCATGAGGTCTATGGAATCCCTACTTCCATCATTGTTGTGGTTCAAGGCCTAATCACCACCAGGATGCAAAGCTTCCCTCAAATTGTCACTACCTACTGCTATCAAGTATCAACTGAAGAAGAAGTGAAGAAGCCCAACACAACCAGAAAGCTCCTTTTTTGCATTTTCTTGTTTTCAATTTTTTAGCAATGGGTGCTTGTGTAATTTGATTAAGTTTTTTTTAAAGTATTTTATCTTCAAACATTTTTATTCTTTTGTGGCTTGTCAGAAGAGTTGGTTTCGGACAAAGCACAATGACATTGCATGATCCATGTATCTAGTCCCACATGGCTGCTGCTTCTGTATTCATACCAAACATACTAATTGATTACACGGAAGGTTCACTTCCCATTTCCATCCGCAATGCTGTTGACATTCCCATTCTAATACTCAATCAATATGATGGCAAACGAGACATCAGTTTTGAATAATAGTAAATTGAAAGCATATAACAACAACAATAACAAGCCTTATCCCACTAGATGGGGTTGGCTACATGAATTACATGACGCCTTTATGCTCTATCATTTATTAAGTTTTTAGGACTATTGTTAATTAAAATGTCTCGCTCAACAACCTCCAAAAGTATTCTATTCGATCTTTCTCTACCTTTTTTAACAAAGCTTAAAGTTATCTATTCCACTATCCTCACAGGTGCCTCTCGTGATCTTCTTTATAAATGTCCAAACCACCTCAAACGATTTTCTATCATTTTTTCTTCAATAGGCGCCACATCCACTTTTTCCCATATTCGCTCATTTTGAATTGTCTTTACATGTATATCCACACATCCACCTCAATATTCTCATCTCTGCTACTCCAACTTTATGCTTTTGCTGTCCCGTCAAAGCCAAACATTCATTACCATATGAAATTGCTAGTATTATAGCAGTTTGATAAAACTTTTCTTTAAGCTTATCAGGTACCTTACAATCGCAAATAACTCCTTTAGCTTTTCTCCAATTAAACCACCCCACTTGTATCTTATGTGTAATATCTCTATCAATGTCCCCATTTTGTTGAATAATCGCTCCCAAATATCTAAACTTTTCCACTTGAGGTATAATCTGATCACCCAATTTCACTTCCAAGTTCCTACTCATTGACCCCTTATCAAAATTACAATGTAAATATTCTGTTTTATTTCGATTCAAGACCTTTTGACTCCAATGTCTTCCTCCATAATTCAAGTTTACAATTTATCTCTTCTCTTTTCTCTGCTATAAGAATTATATCATCCGCAAAAAGCATGCATTTAAGAATTTCCTCTAGAATATGCTCAATCAAAACATTTAAGACTAGATCAAACAAATAAGGATTCAAAAATGATCCTTGATGCAATCCAATCTTTATAGAAAAATCTTTTATTTCACCAACAAGCATTCTTATACTAGTTGTTGCCCCCTCATACATGTCTTGTATAGCTCGAATATAGGCAATCCAGACACCTTTTTTTTCCAAAGCCTTCCAAAATACTTCTCTCGATACACGGTCATAAGCTTTTTCCAATTAATGAAAACCATATGTAAATCTTTGCCTTTATATTGATACTTTTCCATTAATCCCCTTAGTAAATAAATCGCTTCCGTAGTCACTCTCCCTAGCATGAAGCCAAACTGATTCTTCGAAATCCCAATTTTCAATTTCAACCTATACTCAATCACTCTTTCCCATAATTTCATAGAATGAATCATAAGTTTAATCCCTCTGCATTTAGCACAATTCTAAATATCTCCTTTGTTTTTATAAATATGAACTAAGATACTTCTTCTCTAATCGTCAAGCATTTTCTTGAATTATAAGATCTTATAAAATAACTTAGTTAACCCCAGACTCCTTCTTTACCCAAACATTTTTACATTTCACTAAGGATACAATTGGGTCCATTGGCTTTACCATTGGCCATTTTCTTACGAGCTTTCTCACTTCCCAAGCTCGTATTCTTCGATAAAATGACAAATTTTTCTCTCTTTTAAAAGTTGCTAAATCTTTCAAGTTAATTGACTACCCCCCATCATCATTAAAAAGCTTAGAAAAGTATGTCTCCCATCTGTCTTTAATATCATTATCTGTGACCAAAACATTTCCCTCTTCATCCTTTAAAGAATTTTGTTTTGAAGGCATATGCACTAGGATTTTGTTTTGTTGGTTTCCTTGTGTGCAAGCCAAGCAGCAAAGGATTGTTGGGAGAAGTTAAAGAATACCACTTCGGAAAAGTAGGTCAAAGACCTTTGGCAACTGTGTGAGCATGCCTGTCAAGAGCAACTAGAGCAGTGTTGAAAGGGCAACTCATGGGAAGTAGGTGCAACAATATTGGAGTTGCTCGTCTACCTAGGACATCATAAGAGGAAGTGTTGTTTGTTTAAGTTATTCCATTGCGGTTGTGTGACCATAGGAGTCATTGTGCCTTGCCTAGGTGTTTAGGGTTCTAATCTATGTGTGTGTTTTCATGCACGCGCATGTGTTAAAATATGTAACTATATTTAGCTATTCCTCCATCTTTCTTATTCTTTGTGAGCATTATCTTTTTTTCCCTAGTGAAGCTCTTGATATGATTCCATTGTTCTGAACTTCTCTTTTCTCACCCTTTACACCTAGCTTTTACTTTTTCTTCTTCGCTTCATCACAGATATTTCCTTGCGTAATGCAGCCAGCCCTTTACATCATTTCTAATGAAGGGCTAGAAAAAGGAAGTTAATGCTAGACTTTATCATGAATTATTGCAATTTGTCTAAAAATAGCACTGCCAAATTCTCTTGAAATCAGCTCTGATAAAAGGCTAGAAACTTTGATGGGGTAAAACAATACTCCTTCCGTTAAAAAATATAAGGCATTTTTGAAGAAGTTGGATATTAAAAAATATAAGGCATTTTTAATCTTTTGAGGTGTAATCGTTGTCTTTTTTCCAAAAGTACCCCTATTGATAATGACTTTATATTTATTGTAGGGTGTTTAATAGTGATAAATATAAAAAGATAGAGTTAGTTTGAAAGTAAGTAATTACTTTATTATGAGGTAAAATTAAAAAATATCTTATATTTTTAAATGAAGGGAGTATACAAAGGGAATTCACATTTGTTAATAGAGTTTCGAGATAATGGGTGATCTAGAAAGATAGATATTATGAATAAATTATTTTTAATTTATTTTATATATTTTCCATTTAATAATATTGTTTAGATTTATTTAGGTATTTAGTTATCTAAATTTCATATAGATATTTATTTAGATATCTATATATTTATCCAGATGTCTAGTTATTTAGATTTTACTCAGATATTTAGTTCTTTAAATTTTATGTAGTATTTTATATAGATATAGATTCTAGGATATTTTATTCAATTCTATTTAATTATCTAAATATCTAGATTTTATTCATTATTTTAAATTGTATTTAGCACTATAAATATGCTTAACAACTTAGAAGCAAGCATATCATGAATAAAATAGACTTTTGAGACTTGGCCCTTTGGAGATTCTCCTAAACGTGGCCATTGAGAGAAGTATAGAATGAAATTCTTGTTCTATATCATCTTGATAGATTTATTCCTTCTATTTTCTTCTATCAGTTCTATGTTTTCTTATTAATGTTATAAAGTTAGATTCTAATTTCATGTGTTAATAGAAATTTATCTTCCTTATTTCTCTCTACTTATCTTGGATCCTATCATTTGTCTTCAAATTGCAGGCAGAAAAACAATGTATCAAGGTACTGGAAAATTGATATTTTGGAAGTAATACCAGCATTTCTCGCGTGTGTATGCACATCTTGTGTCACGCAAATGAATATAAGAGAAATAGTAGCAAGGATAAAAGCTGTGAGGAAAGGACTTGTAGTTGTTAAAAAAACAAGAAGTTGACAGTGCCTACCAATAGTTAAAGACATCAAAGCCCTCTTTACTCCCCCAGAGAACTTTATTGCATCAAAAATTGCCATGGAATCATCAATAGAATCCCCTGGTTTTAATGACACAGATGCGAATTCATCTTCCTTTGGCTGGGGTCGCTGGAATTGTAGTTCCATTGAAAGCCCCGTTTCATTACGTATTGTAACCAAAGGAGAAACCACAACTGACAAGCCATCCTTAAAAAGTAAGCATAAAATCATTAAGCAGAACGGATAAACTATGGTCTCCATGAATAGATGGAAATGAAATTGTGCAATAGAAAAAGGACATGTCATGATACCTCTAATTTTCTTGAAATGTTAACCACAAGAAGTGGTCCAGGATATGATCTTGAACCTGTTCAATAGCAAAAAAGGATAAGCTTTTCCTTGTCAGAAGTTACAACATCATAAAATTATAAACAGTTTAGAAATATCAATACAAATGAAAGACTCTGAAAGTTTCGTGGTTTTGGTACTTTAAGACCATGCAATTCTGCTTATATTGCATGTCCATAATTACGCAAAATAAGATGTGTTTTTCTTTCTTTCTTTCTTTCCTTTTTTACTCTTATCCAAGATGACGCACATGATAAATATTTTACACATACTAGACAATCTAAAAGACAGGGAGGAGGAAAAAGAAAACACTACAGTAATCCAATTGAAAAGAAGCCTTCATAACAGGACTATATCTTTTTCTTTTTTCCACTTTTTGGGTAAAATAACATGGGACTATCTTTAATCAGTACCACTAGCATATATGTTTGGTAATCCCGATTCCACAGGTCAACTGATAGAGACCTATATAATGATGTTTCATTTAAATGTACAAGAAAGGGGCTGAAAGAGACCTTCCATCGACATAATACGTGTTCTCCAAGCAAGGGATGATTGTGAAAGTGAAAGATGAATAGAAGAAGTCACTAAGGATCCAGAATCAGCAAGTTGGATTGAAACAGAAGCTGCATTATCTAAATCTTGAGCTGTGAAATCAGAGAGCCTCCTGCCACATGAAAGTCACAACCTATCGATCAGTTAATCAAATAAGAATCCAACTCTAATTATTAAAATTTAAAAAGCATCCCATTGATACAAGTGGTTAAAAAAGAATCTGATAACTCCTGTACCAGACAATTATTCTTTCAACATTCATAACTTCTTTCTATCAATTTTCTCTAGTTTATGCAATAAGAGATAACTGACATTTATCAAAATAGGTGACAGAATTAGCTACCTTCCCTAACATACTCGGCTGACACTAAAAAATTCTCACACGTCCTAGCTACCAAAGAAAATCCTATTTATAGCTTAACTGTCACTAACCAATCTTTAACACTAATATAAAAATGAATGAGAATTAAGTTGCATGGCCTGAGTCGCCCAGATTAAAACAAAAGCAAGAGACAGAGAATAAGTGAAGGCGGCAATGATCCTTGGAAAACCCTTGCATATTATTGTACAACCATAAGCCTATGTCCCCAGTGTTTATCAAGACCTACCACCCAAACAAAATCAGCCAAATCTAACAAAATACGAAGCCATCATCAAATAACGAGATCCAAAACCAAAATAACTCTGAAATACATCCACTGAAAAATAATTAATCAGAAGCAACATGTGCAGGAAAATGACAATCAAATTAATGTCACTGCAGAAATTCTCTATCAGGAAACTACACCATCCAGTATAAAACAATCAATGGTCTTATTTATCATTGCGTCATACATGGAAACCATCAATGGCAGACTGCCATGTAGATACCTTACTAGAATGGAAGTAGACTGTTTTCTGGCTATAGTTACCCTTTGCTGATTGAAATGAAATAGAAGATTTAAGCCTGACTGATTCTCCACCTAACATTATAGCAATTGTTATTTGATTGAAATGCCAAATTTGATGGGAAGTAGGGCATAATAATTAGAAGATTGGGCTTAAGAAATTTTGACAAAGAAAAGAATGTAGATAAGTGAAGGCAAGCACAGTTATGAAAATTATGAGATTAAGCAGGAACATGGAATTATTTAGAAAAAAATCAGTTCATTCCTTTTTCCATGCTGTTAATAATCATAAAGATGCACTGGATCTAGAACCTTGCAGTAGTTAGCCAGAACCATGGAGCTTCGCAATGAATAAGGACCGGACAGATTCAGTTTCCCAATCATGAAGAGAAGAACGTCCAATGATATCTCGCAGAGGCATATGTTCAGCTGTAAATATGAAGAGAAATTTTAGAGGATGGTAGAATAATGCCTGAATGAAAGTTAAAAAACAATAAATCAGAGATAGCTCTAACAACCTCTTTAGCTCTGCAATACAAATTAACAGGAACTGCATAAGATGCATATTCTGATTGCTGACTTTGAAATTTTGTTCGGTAAAAAAGACATATTTCAACAGGACGGAGAAGCTCTCCCCTAGAATTTAAAAAAAAAGGAAAAAAAAAAGAAAACAACACACACACAAGGAAATGTTACAATTAAAATATTGCACATAAAAGAAAGGTTTACAGTTAGAATGGACACCTAACTAACCATATATTTCTTTGAGTGTCAAAATAATGTACCACAGCTCTCGATGTGCTTATAATCCGGGATTTTGTTGCAAAACTCTGTATGATCAGTTGTGCATTGTTGATGCATGCACGAATAAGAGGGAAGAGATCTTCTGTATCTGGAAGTTCATGGACAAAATTCACAGAAATTTTCCCTACTTTAACATCAATTTGTGGAGGCTTTCCATTCAACCAAGCAAAACTTTCTTCATTTATATGCAGACTGCTCAGAGAAGCCATTCTAGGGTAGTTATCTGCCTCCATGCCATTAAGAGCAACAGAAAGTTCATGAAAAACTTTGAACTTGAATGGGCTCCCAGGTTTCTGCACATACTCCGGAACACCGTCAAGAAAAGCAACACCAGAGTCATTTTTTTTGTTGACAAGGTAAAAGGTTTTATTCACCAGTTGGTTATGACCCTCCCATTCAGTAACTCCTTCAGAACCTTCACCCTGAAGAGGATAAGCTCTCCAAAGTGCACACCCTCCATCATTAGTACAGGAGATGTCAACAAAACATGACCCTGGACTATAATTCAATCTCAATGGCATACCCATGTCATTCTTAGCGTACAATGATATCAAGGAAAACCACAAAACCATTGACTTCCATCTCCTTTCAATGCAGTATTTGACCTACAGAAAATTTAGCCAATACATGTGATCCATAAGAATGATGACATCCCAACCAAGAGCACAAGCAATAAGCAGCCAGATAAGAAATGAAGTGATGAGAAACTTTATCCCAAAACCAAGCTCCGAAAGACAAAGGACAATTACATTGTAATCCTCAAGCAAAAACCTGCGCATCCAGCCACTGAAGTTTGCACAGTATCCTCACAATTGGACTAGATGGTTCCCGAAAATTTGGTTGCTTATAAACATAAAATTCTAGCCAAGCCCAAGAAGAATTGGGATTCCTGGTTCCAAATTATTACCTTGATATGTAGCTAATTAAAACAATGTAAACAACAGTCCTACAGAATGGTAAACTCCGGCAATGTTAAAACCCACAAGTTACCTTAAATTTTCTCCCTTACAATTCAGGAATTCTGAGCACATGTATTTATGGTTTAGGGACAAGAAACCAGACAAGTAGTGAAACATAATCATAGAGTGGTTAATGTGTTGATGAGGGACCTAGTGGGCTGATTAAGCATGTGCATAGAAGGTCCAGAGCCAAATTGCCTCTTGCCAAGAAAGTTGAGAAGAATAATGAAGATGAGGTCACAGGTCCAATAGGTGGACCGTGACTGTTTTGCAGGGTTGCATGCAGCTGGAGAGAAAGCAAGGGATAGATTGATTTCTTGGAAGGGGAGCCTCTGACGTCTCAAAAGTCAGAGGACCCATTTCCATTTTCTGTTTCTTTTCCATTTGTTGCTGTTAAGACTATATTAGCCATCAGATATTATGATTTATAATTTGTAAAATAAATATTATTATAGGTAGTTGGTTGGTAGTTAGTTAAGACCGTTAGAAGATTAAAATATCAGGCTAGCTTCTATATATATGTGAAGGGTGTGTAATCTGAAACTATGCTTAATGAATAATTCAGAGTACTATCCAGAATTCTCTCTTGTCTCTCTCTTTCTCTCTCTATTTCTCTATTCTTTCTCCTATTCCTCTCCTCTCTTTCCTACTCTTTCTTTCCCTACACATCAGATTACTAGTTTGATTTTATCTTTTAGTCTACTTGCTCACTGAAAGAGGAAAGTTGTAACTAATCTTTGCTGGAAATAAACTCTGATTATCAAGTTACGTCAGTTAACCATATGCTGATTTAATTAACCACAGGTCGAACTAATTGTTCCCAAACTAGAAATATAAATACCAAGAGTTCCTAAGCCAAAGGTCTTCCTTTTATGTATAAAATAGATAATAAAAAAAAAATTGAAACGTTTACCAAAGGGGGAAATAGTAGAAAATTTGCACCAGTCCTAAAATAGAACCACTAATCAATGAAGATTTTTCAATGATATGAACGTGCACAGCTCAAAAACCAGTTCCGTAAGGTATGTAAAATCAACATAAATTCATACCCTGAAAAGAGCTCTTTCTCCTTCAAGAGAATAATGGATTGTACCACCAATACTTAAATTCCTTTCTTCACCTTTAACTGTAAGATACATATGTTGGGCAACATCTTGAATTGCAACTATTGCTCCTACAAAAGTCAACAACTAATTACCACTGTAATTTCCCAATAAATAATAAGCCAAACTATAAAATTTGATTTTGAGTACCATCAGGAACCAGTGCTTCCAAATTATTATAAAATTCCTGCCTAGCAGTGCCATTATTTCTGTTCAATTCTCTGGACGTCTTCTGACTAGACATACCATAAAATGAGGATGTCATTGACAAAATTGTCTGCAATAATGAAAACAGAGTTAGACAAAAAGCCATATATTTTAAAGGGGAAAAAACCTCAGAAAACTGCTGACAAACTTTAAATAGCAGAGCAGAAGAAATTATTACCTGTATTTCAGATAAAGAAAGCGTAATATCAAAGTCTGGAAGAGAACAATTGCCAAACCAACTCTGAGACAAATGTATAGAACCATTTTCTGGCCTCTCTAGTGACACAGACGCTCTTAAATCTTTTAAAATAGGGTTCTGATGACTAGAATGAAAGACCCCAGAAGCAGATCTATAGTTATAAGACTTTTTCAAGGGAACAGAGTCTCTTGAGCTACTTGCATCGCTAACAGAGTTAAGTTCACCTGAATTCTGAGACCCTGAAACTCCAGATGCATGGTGAGATGACAATACTTCTGATGTTACTGAAGAAAAATGAGGGATTACTGTTTCATCCTGCTCACTTGTATGAAGGACTTGAGAGAGTATTGACAAATGAGAAAGGTCAAATGTCAATTTCTTCATAGTAGTTGCTGATTCAAGCTTCAGATGGATGTCAACCTCAACTACAAGCTCCCGGATTTCACCTGTATCAACAGATTAAACATTTAACCAAGTTTTTCTACGCTACAATGCAGTACCACACTTAAAAAGGAAGTTAATTTACCAGATTCATTTTCATGCACGAAAACAAGAGCAAAGTGAGACAAAGATAAGGCAAAAGTATTTGATGATCCACTTTTAGCTTGATGAGATGCGCAAAGAGTCCCTTGAGCATCCTTTGCAGGAAGATTATAGCTTGTTTCACCATGCTCTGCCACTGTGCATCTACTATGTTGTCGAGCAGCAGAGGCAAGACTTAAAATACAATGTAGATATGAAGAATAACAATCAGTGACCACTGCCAAAGATGTGGTTTCAAGAATCAATCCACCCTGCCGATAAAATTTATAACTCAGCTAAATAAAACAAAGTATTGTAAAAATTCAGATGACAGCATTTATAGATAACAGCTTCAAAGAGTAATAAACCAGTAAGCAGCAAGATCATTTTCCTATGAACTTCAATTTGGGGGAAAAATTAGAGTATGATATTCTCTCTGATTCTTCTTATTAAAAATGGAGCAAGTGCAAATACATATATGGGACTGAAGGCAACAGACCTGCCAGTTAGATCCAAAAAAAAAAAGCTAACAATAAAACAGAACCAAATATTCTATCCTGGGCAAAATACATGGGAGGAGAAGGAAATAAAACACTAATCAAAGAAACATAAATGAGGACAGTAAAGGCTAAGATACAACACAGGAAAATTTCAAAATGTCGTTTTAATAAAAGGCCTTCAAGCAAAGATGAAGTTGAAATATGTGTGAGAGTATTTCTTCCCTTTAAAGCACACACATTACCTGAATTTCCAAGAACTTCAACTCAAATTCTCCACCAATAGAAAGCGAAGACATGAACTTATTCAACTGATGTGCTTGAACCAGATCATTCCTCATTTGACAGCTTCCTATGAAAACATTACCTACTGTGACACTCATAAGTAACCAGTGACTTCCTGAAGCTGGAATAGGAATTCTTGCAGCAGACACCCTTTCCTTAACAAAGCAGAGAGATTGATTATTGGATCTTTCAGAGCAGGTTGCTTGATCAGTATCCTGTCCCAAAGATATATTACTACCAGGACTAGAAATGCTAATTTTTTCACTTTCATTATCTGAAGAGGCTTTCTGAGGGGAACCAAAGTATAAAGTAAATTTGCAATCAGAAAGAGATATTTCACGTAAGCACTTATCAGATTGCAAACCCAAATTTTCAAGGACAACATAATTATCATTGTTTCCAACAGAGTTCAGGTTTTCAAATACAAGAAGCATAATTCTTGATGAATCAGTGAGAATATCTGCTTTTCCTTCTTCACAAGATATTGCAAGAGTTGTATGCTGAAGAGAAACCCAAATTCCATAATCAGGGGACTTTTTCTCAGCCAAAATGTTGCCACTTACAAAGTTAAAAGTTCTCATCCAACTATCTGCATTATCTTTTGTCCTAGAATTATGAAGAATTACATCCACCGACTTGAGTCTGCAGTTTCCATTAATTAAGAAGAGGCATCCATAATTTGTCAACTGAGTTCTTCCAATAGATCCCTCCACCCTCTTAAGCTGTGAAAATAATGCTTCTTCTTTCATGATTTTGGGATGTATGGTATCAACAGCTTCAAGACTACTAAAAAGACAAGATACCACAGCATACAAACTTGCAACTGCCTGTCAAAGAGAGAAGAGATCCTTTAGCCACAACAATAAAAAATTTATTATATTTGGTCCCTATAATTTCACTCTACCCTCAGTTCAATCCCTACGATTTTTCTTTGAAATCAGGTCCTTACAATTTAAAATCCTTTGGAACTAGTTTTCCACAAGCAACAGGCATTATTGACTCCACTAAATTGGTCCGTATAATTTGAAATAAAACCATGCCACCAATGGAGAAAGCATTTAGGGAAATAGCCATGTGCACAAAGATCTCTATCTAACAAAAGCACGATGAAATTAATCATATTTCATGTAATTATAAGTAACTTAGGTATCCTAGTAACCACCTGATGACTTGAAAGATGTGATTGATGTTGGAATAGAAGCTGAATTTTATTAATTAGATACTCTATTAGAAAAATATAAGCAAGTATCTCACCTACAGATTCTAAAAGTTTTAGGAAAATCTCCTAAACAAATGTAACAAATCTATTATTCTAGCAACCCAACAAAGTACCTACAACTACCATAGCTATTTACAATTCTGGGAATAATTAAAGTTAAGTAAATTACAATAACAACAAAAAGCCTTATCTTACTAATTGCGCTCAGCTACATGAATCACAAGACATTATTGGGTCCTATCAACAACTAACCCTTTAGAAGTACAATTTACCAAGATATCCTGTTCAATATCTTCCTTGAGTGTCCTTTTAGGTCTCTCTTTACATCTTTATGAGGTTAAAGACCATCTACTTAACTCTCCTCACCAGCGTCTGTAGCAGTTTTTTTTTTTTTTTACACATATTCAAATCATTTTAAATGATTTTCAACCATTTTTTCCTTGACAGATGACATGTCAAATTCTTGACAATCAAATATGCAAAGTGGCACAAGGTGGCACATTATGAGTCCCTAAAGTGCTGTCATCATTGTCTACTCTCTAAGTGACATGGTGATCACCCCTTTCCCCACTACCTCCACATACTTCTCCCATATCCAGCAACTGCCCAGCTCCCCAAATCCACATCCCCATGCTTCTCACCTGCCTTTCTTCTTGCCTGCATATATTTCTCTCTAAGTGAGAATTGGTCTCTTATCAACCTGTCTGTTTGCAACTTCCTTAAAAGAAAGCACTTGAATATTTGATCAATAACAAAACAAGCTTTATATCCTTGAATGCATGCTAAATCAGGGTGTCAATGACAAAAGATAAAAGCTAACAACCAGGCCTATAAGGAAGGAACCCTTTTTCTATGTGATGGCCTGTTACCATTTTAGCTGTAATAATTTCAATATCTTAGCAGCCACAACCATAGAATTTTTACACCAACAAATGCAGCTAAACGCGCAATGATGATAGAATGTAAGTGATCTTCTCCAAGTTCAACTTGGTTTTTTTTTTTGGCTGGATTTAAGAGTTCAGAAAGAATAACAAGGCTAAAGAGAATATAAAATTTTGATGCCAACCCTGGCCTCCTAACATTCAGAACTGTAATTATTATTCTTATTCTTATTCTTATTCTTATTCTTATTATTATTTACCAAAAAAAACTGTCATTTGGTTGAGTGAGGAAAAAGCAAAGTGAATCTTATAAAAGTATTAAGCTGCCATTTCTGAGTTTCCACCTCGAGGACAAGATGAATCTTCTGGGGGAAGTATTGATGGGACCCAACCCCCTGTTGCCACCAAAACATCCTGGAGGAGAAATAAGAGTGGAAAAGTGGAAGAAAAAACGGGGCCACTGGTTCAGAAGAAAGTATAAAGGTAAAGAAACAAATAAGACAGAAAAAGCAGAGGAGCCAGTGGTAGAGGCAAGAGGGAGCAGTTAAGGAGTAGTTGATAGGGTCATAGGCGTATATAAAAAGAAAAGCTGAGAAAGAAAGGGAGACAAGAACTAGGGATCAGAATTTAGACGGAGAGATCCAACCTCTTTAAAGTTGCCAACTTTATTTCTATTCTTGAAGGGTTTTGTGTTGTCTTAGTTGTGTTTCTTGTGGGTATCTGTGTATCAGTTATGTTCCTAATGGGTATTTTTTGAATTAGTTGTGTTTCTAGTAGGTGTCTGTGTAATAAGGTGTGTGGAGTTCCTCTTTCTTCTTTTTCTGTGCTAGTGTTCTGCATTGTTATCCATATATGCACCCTCAACTTCATCTGTACATTCCATGTTGGTTTAGTATTGTGTTCTGTAGGAGTATTTAAACTTTGCATCATTCTGTGTTTTGTTGCTATTTACTTGTATTTTGGGTGTAATAGGGATCCTGGGTTGAATCTCGTAAGATAATTTGGTTTAATATTTGCTCAGTGGAATAGCAAGACCCAAGTTCCCCATTTATTTATTATTTATATTGTTATAAGTTCCAGTAGTTCACTGGTTCCTAACAGGTTCATTAAAAGATGGGCCTAAAACCTCAACATAATATCCTTAAATATAGTTTATTTTACAATATATCTGAACCGCATTATTTGATCTTCTTTCATGCTCTCAGCCAATAAAAAAGTGGTTTGATATGCATAAAGGTACCTAGTACTTAAGGGACCATAAATTTAATCAGGTATACAACATGAAATTTATCATTTGACTTAAAACAGGATGGGAAAGAACTACCTGATAGATCATATATAACTCATCCAAAAATGACAGAACAGTTAATCCTCCAGCCATTATGCCAAAAGCAGCTGAAAAAGCAACAGTTCTTGTGCTTAAAGAGTACATGTGCTCCCTGAAATATCAATTTAACACTCAAATCACAATCCCAATAAGAAATATGCATATGACACAACACGTTTTTGAATTATGGAAAAGGGCTTATCATATATCTATAACAACTACAATTATAGGGGCCTAAAAAAACAAACTTATCATCAAATTTTAACATGATGTGATGGCCATATGACCTGTGGAAACTTCTATCTCTGGAGAACACACTTAATATAACAAGCAGAATGATATAATCATGACTAAAGAGCCCAGTAAGAGTTTATGTGTTCTTGCTGGGGGAGGTTAAAATGTACAACAATTTCAGTCCCCAAGATGTCTTTAAAAGTTTTTAATTTTTTTTGCCAATTCAAGGGTAATTCCAAACTTGATATTCAAAATGATTTGAATGTTCTTTGAATTGCCTTGAATCTTAAATTGTTTCTTTTATTGTGATCTAATTTTGACAACATAGTTTTCTCTTACCATTATTGGCATTCTAATTAATAAAATTTGTGCATCAAACTTCTAATTTATTTTTTCCTCCTCAATCATGAACATTGAATCAATCACAGATATTAAATTAACTAAACTTTTTTCATGACTTCGTTTCTATCTCCAACATATATCAATCACAAGGAATACATAATAAGCCTGCTCAAAACTAACCAAAAAGGAAATTTCATCACAGTGAACATCAAATCTAAAGGGTGCTGCAGCTTCATATATTTTTTTTCCCCATTAAACTGAAAGAAGGGACTGAGATTCCTAGGCACACAGAGCAAAAGCAACATATTAATGCATTCCCAAATCAGCACTAACAGGCACAATCATACATTTACATAATACTTTTTATCCATAAAATATGACGCTTGAATATCATGAATCCTCTGAAAAAAAAAAGGGGAAAGAAAACAGCAAGGAAAGAGAAACAAAGAAAAAAGAACATCAGCTTAAAGAGATAAGATCAATCCCATAGGAAGTCATGGGATGTTTGTATATCTTTACTTTTTAGGCAAACACATTGAAGGACCATAAATCACCAAATCCCAGCGCAGATTTTACAGTAAAGGACATAAGTTAAAAGTTGAAAAAAAAAATTCAAGAGTATATAATTTGCTCATAAAAAAATCAGCAACTTTTCAGACATTGATTAAAACAATTTAAAATGTCATGCTGGACAGAAAGACAATAAACAAAAGAAAAATAATGTCAAGATATAAGACCCATTGAGGACCATCAGGGAAACAAATAATAAATCAAAGTATCATCCTATAAACAACATCCTACCTAATGGATGATATCTGTAATGCGATTGGCTTCATTACAAAAAGTTGAAATTGATGGCCTTCAGCTGGTTTCCTCAAACAAGCATTTAAACCATTTAGACGAAGATAACAACCAAATGAAATCCTTCCCCATGATGCATATTTATCACTATTTGGTTTAGGGATTTCAATTGCCCTAGGTTCCAACCTGAGACACTCTGCTTGTGCATCATCAAATCCTGGCAAATCTAACAATGGTGCCACACCACATAAGGAAGGTGAACCAATAGCCACTTTTATCTCATGGAAATCAAAAATCAAGTCAAAACCATCATGACTAACAATGTCATTAATCTCTTGACAACCTGGATTGGCCTTCTTGTTGTGTAAAAATCTCACAGAAGGACCATCAACAAATACTCCAAGCTGAATGTTTTTCTCAGGAAGCACTTGAAGCAAGGTCATAATCCAGGCTTTGGCATAATACTCAAATTTGTTAACACAACAACCTTCCTGTTTATCCAAACAATTTGAGACAATAGATGTTTTCCCCTTGTCCTCCCGCCAAATAAAATGCTGCATCTGACTAAGAAGTAGAGACACTGATGATACTGAATAATGAGTCAGAACTAAATTTAACTTTCCTAGAATTAAACCACATTCAGTAATACCTGGATTCTCAAGGCCCGGATATGTGAATGATCTTTCGAACTTACAGAGAAGAGATGGATTTTCAGAATACTCCATCTCATTTTCAATAAAACTATCACAAATTCCTTTCCAGCTCAAACAAATTTTTCCCAAAAAGTTTTCCATACGAAAATCACATGAACCTTCAACCTGGGCATCATTAATATCTGAAAGAGAGAATAATTTTGCCGGCCCAACCCATAAAATTGATTCCATATCATTGATTCCTTCCTTCCTATTCTTTTTCTCTGAATCACTAAGCATATTCATTTTACTTGACTTTGATGATGCTTCGAGAGATGCAAGCATAACCTTCATTAGGCCACATGATACAAAAACTCTCTGTTCAAAAATGTCTTCAACAGACACAAATAACAAAGCATCAATACAAAAACTTATGGAATGGAAATCCATGTATTCAATCCCAGTATGTGATTGTAGCTTAGCATATACAGATGGTTGAATTCTATTGGTTTGGGAAAGCATTATAACCAGTTTCCCAATGTTCAGAATGAAACAACACTTTTGACAAGGAGATTTGGTAGCACTTTCCAAACCTACATCAGTGTAAGGATCTTTAACAATTTCTTTTCTCAAAAATATGAGATTTGCTAAAGATTGTATTATTTTTGAGATCACTTTCCATATAAGTGCCATTATGGGCAAAACAGGGCGAAAGAAATTGAAAGGACTTGTAATCAAACGTTTTTCACCATCAGATTGAACTTTCAATGCAGCTCTATGACGAGCTACTTGCCTTGCCAATGCTATGCCTTCAATGGGCAGCCTTTCCTCAATGTCAGATATTACCTTCCAGTGGTGTTTAGCAGAACTCAAAATGTGGTTGTTCCAAGAAATTTTAGAAAAGGATCTATTCAATAAGATGCCAGAAGAGTATCCAATGAGCAGCAAGAGATTCTCATAAGCATTGACATAATGTATCCATTGACTAACAACATGAACTAATCTATGGAATGTCAATCTGGGAATTACAGTGTAGCCCATTCTGCTGGCAGCTAATCTCCATAATTCTCTTGCACTTCTAGCATGATTGTACTTATTAGACAGCAGTTTATCAAGGGCTAGATATATAAAAATGTCATCCGGAGAGAATGAAAAAGTCAGTTCTGGAAAATAGATAGTGCAATCTGCCAGCTGAAGATCATGTAATTTGATATATGTACACACATCAGATGAAAGTAAAACATGGTCTGCGCAATCTCTCTCATTAAATCCAATCTTCAAACCAATTCCATTTAATATGTAAGAGCTCTCATTCACTGGGAGAAAAATTGCACTGAGAAGACCTCTGGTAATACATCTAACATCCAGAAACTTAGACCTTGCATTAAGCTCCTCTAATTCCCCAAAACACATCAACACATTGTTTAAGATAGGGAATTGAATCTCCACACGAATGTGATGTACCTCCAGATGACAGTGTTTGAGAATCAGGTTCACAAGTGATGTTGAAAAATCCTTTTTTGAAGGTGCAGCAAACAAGATCCTCTCCAAGAGATGATGCAAAGTACAACCCTAAAATCCATACAAAAAGTTGCCAAGATGGGGTAATGATATTATCTTAATAAAGATTGTTCCGCCTAGAGATACTTGATATAAGAAATTATCAACCTAAGCATGTCTAACTGTTTGGACCTATAGATCAGATAACAATGCATAGAGTTCATCCCAATTGACCTTTTTACCATTTTTTAGGGAATCTACAACATGGACACCCAATGAACTTTCATTTTCAACTTGAATTCCCACAATTTAATGACTCTATAAGCAATTAAAAGATGTGAAAGAAGGAACCATCCATCTGCTTCCAGTGTTTCCATTTGTTTTTCATGTATCTCGTTCAGTGCCAGTTCATAGCAGATAACCTTTTTCCAGCAGAAAAGATTGAAATGAACATTATTTGAAGCATAGTAATCCAACAAACATGGAAAGCAGAATAAACAGCAAGCAATTTTTACGCGAGGAATTCTTTGTTGTTATGCATTTTACATTGGGAGAATCTGTCACGAGAATAGTAATACAGACAAGGCTTCAGTTTTGGCTGAAAGCGGCCTGATAGACAACTTCCCCGGGTAGCAAATATCTCGCCTACAGGTTTGCAATTAATATAATAGGAAAAGAAACCAGTAGTTGCAACAAATTGGACGGCGACTCACATATAATTTTTCAGAGCATTACCTCTGGATCAAGTGCGGAAAGCTTCTTCCTGACATTTTCATAGTCATCATGCTTCGATTTCCGCAAGCGGCCCAAGCATCCCTCCTGCTTTGGCTTCCTTATACACACACACACACACATATATAATGCCAGCTTTAGGAGATACTGACTAAAGTACAAACTATAAAGGCGCGGGAACAAGACAAAGAAGGACCCACAAAACAAAACAAAAGCCTATATGCAGGGACTTACTCAAATGATAGTACAACATGGACTCCATGAACTTCGATTGAGAAGGCTGGTGCAGACCAGTTCGAGAATCCAATGCTCAGATGTTCAATTGTGATGTCCTTGAAAAACAACAAAGCAGGCGCGTCAAAGAGCTCGTTCAGAACTGAAACATCAATGCGAAGATGATCCACACCCGCAAAAGACCGAATGAACCCTAATTTGAGATCGAACTCAGGTTCCTCCAGCAGCCATGGCCGAAGCAGAGACAGTAGCCTCCGCCGGATTATGTGTTTAAAGGGCATAGTATTAATTAGGATTTCGACAGGATATCACTGAATTTTTATCCAAGCTCTACTGGAAAAGCTGAATTGGAAGTGGTTACTAAAGTAAGTTGATTCAGCATGAAATCGATGTGCATCCGCTTCTGTAATAAGTGCACCGGCGGGAACTTAACGAATCATATAACAATCCGATTGAACTCATTTTGTCAGGTTTACCCGGAAAAAATAAAAATAAAAATTGTCATTCTGTTACAGAAAAAGAGTAGAAAGGAAAGCCACAAAAATCACAACATCCACTTCGGTGAGGTATATTATATTATTTTGATAAGTAATTAATGTGCATTCTTTTATATTTTAATAAAATAATTTTTATTTTTTATTTTTAATATCATTGTTGTTGTGATATAATTGTATACAGTTCAAATTTTAATTTTAATGCTACAAAAATAAATTTTTTAAGCTGTTTAAATATATTCCCTTCACTCGTCTCTTTATATATAAATATATATATATATATATATATATATAATTAGGTCAAATTCGAACATTGTTAGAACCAATTAGGTGCAATTATCTTAAAGTGTTTTCTACATTTATGCTGAAAACCTGTGTTAAAGTAGTCAAATCATAATCTCTAATTATCTAGTTAGACTATCACACACTTTATAAGTTAATTTTTGCCTCTTTGATCATCATTCATGTCTTAATTTTGGTATGGAAGGTGATGAAAAAGGACAAGCTTTTTTAGTTTTTTGTTTCTTGATGTATTTTGTTTCCTTTGTTTAGTATTATATTTCAGTTTCCATTAAAAAATAAAGTAGTCATAACCTCTTCTACTAAAACCAATACCTATAAGTCATTTGTGTCATTTTTTATTATACTACTCCTTAATATAAGATAAACTTAACTAACTTCATGCTTATTAAGAAATGGTGTTATATTAAAATTGTTAGTGCGTGTATGAATTGTAAAATTAGCTCTTCTTTGCAATTATTGATATTGATAATCATAACAAATTGCTTTTTAGGAATTCAAACCATAATAAATAAACAAGAGATAAAATTGGCAGAACAAATTAATTATTCTAAATTTGCCTTATACTAAAAAAAATTCAAAATTTGCTTTATATTAAAGATAGAAGAATTTTTTTTTTTTGCAAACTTCAAAGCATCAATTTAAATGTTAATATAGATTCTAATATTGACTCAATTATTTCACGTGACATTAACATTCACCTTCATGGTCATACTTAAATTCTCAGGGGCTTGCCAACAAGGATTAGATCTTATGAAAGGGCTAGTCCTTCTCTCATAACCTAGTAAACCGAGATTCAAAACCTCATTAGGAGATATATTTACATTTAATGCATGATCATATCTCAAACAATATTACTTTTAATAGAAGGATACAATAAAATTATCATAAATGACTTTTTTTTGCCATTTATTATAAAGGGGGGGAATTGTTCTTTAGAACCAAATGGAAGATATATTTTATATTAAAAGACCTTAAAAATATGCAATATATTTTGCTTATATTTTGAGTTTTTTTTAATAAGTAAATTACCTCATAAACTTTAGACTAAGTAGCACAATAGACTCTAAATTCATTTATTATTCAAATTGTTGCATCAGCTTTTGAAAAAGGTGCAATATGACTCTTGCCATTTTATGCAATATGACTCTTGCCGTTTATAAAAGTTAACTTTAATTGTTAGTTGAATATAAAATAACATAAAAAGACATCAAAAATTATAATAAAAGACTCAAAAATTACAAACAACAACAAAAAAATTACATAAAAGGACCCAAAAATTTTGTTTAGTCCCTTTTGTAATTTTTGAGATTTTGTTCTATTATTTTTTAATCAATTAACAGTCAAGAATAATTTTTCTTAATGACAAGGACCAAATTGCACTGTTTTCAAAAGTTGAGAAAATAATTTGTACAATAAATGAGTTTAAGATCTATAATATTGCTAAACTTAAAGCTCATGAGATAATTTGCTCTTTTTTTTTTGCTATTTTTTAAATTTTTGTTGTTTTGATTTCAAGGATTTTCCATTCCATGTCTTCTAACTTGCATCTTTAGGAGGGGGGGGAACTAGCCAAAGATGTTGCTTATTTGAAGGTGTTTATCATAAATGCCTTTTTTTCCTTATATAATTATGATCCTAAGCATAGGAAATAACTAATTGATTTAAAAATATTTAGGTTCACCAAAAAAGGCAAAACTTATGTACTTAATATATATATACTTTCATTTGATCAAATCAGGACATGCAATTTTAATGTGTTAGTAATATTAATAATAAGAATTTGTTATAAAATAAATAATTTATAAAAAATAAAAAATATTTATTTAATTGAAAACAAGTATCTTACTCTTGTTAAATATATAAATTTTTCCCTTTCTAAAATATCTTTCATTGTAATTATTTACTTTGAAATATTATTAACATAACTTACACATCGTATTTTAATATAATTATAAGATAAATATAAATATGAGAGATAAAAGAACTTCCCTATTAACTTCTAAACACATAATAAATGTGTTGGGAAAAAAAAACTTATTTTTGATAAGTTATTAAATGACTTATCAAAAATAGCTAAAAATATACACATTTTTAGCACAACCTCCATGATTAATTTATCAAGTTTTAAGCTTTACTAAAATCACCTTTTCTTTTAATTAAACAAACTTACCCTAAATCAATGGGGATTTGGTTCGAACATCAGCCATGCCATTATATTTACACCAGTAGAAAAATAACTTTTTACATGTATTAAAAATGATTTTTTACAGTCATGTTATTATATTGAATAAAATACTCGAGTCACTTTGTTATTTTATCTTAATTACACAGACTTCTTTTTTATTTTAAAAACATATAATTTAGTCCAATCCATTAACTTTGTTAGGAATAATTTAAAAAGATTCTAAAAACTTATTCTTAAATTAAAAGTTATATTAAAGTAAATTTTATTTACTAATTTACCACTCACCCTAATAAATCTCTAAATCATATTATTTTGATTGTTACATGAATTTCATAGTAAAGAAGAAAAAAGCGACTGAGGAAGAAGAGCATGAGAATCCATGGAGGTTGTAGAAACAACACAAGGCAAGGTACCCAGAAAATATTTTCATACTTTTTTGTTTTTCTCTCAAGTCAACGAGTTGGGTTTATGAGCGTTATTTTCTTAGAGGTATGTGAGAGGGGCGGAAGGAGGTTGTCAGTTGGTATGCGCTGAGATATATTGCCTCCACTGTCACAGGACGTGGGCTTGACGTGTACTGCAAATTTTTTTACTATTTTCGGTTCAATTTCAATCGAATTTTGATTTGGTTTTCGTAAGGAATGGAGGGGGAATCTTGTATACTCCCCACTTGTTTTCGATAATGAGTCATTGGCCAATATTCATATGAAATGAATTAATGGATAATGATAATCAATTAGATAAGTTTTTGACCGAATATGAAATTGTTGGTGCCCAATCTATTTATTTTGATAATGGTGGAGTAGTATGATTTATTTTTAAAAATCTGATATGCATATACACACACCTAAAATTTATTTTATTTTTGTTTTAATTTAAAAATTTCCATTCAACGTAGCATAATATGACTAATGCTGAAAATATTAATAATTGAGATAAAAGTGAGCCTCCTATTGATACATTGTTTACGAATACTAAACAAGATTATGATAATTGTGAAGTAGAAGACAATAAAGAGAGTAAAGAGATTGTCGATGATTCTACTTTTAATAATGTAGAGGATAATGAAGGTTGTAATCCTAAAATTGACATATATGGTATTGAAAATTTTGCATTTACAGAAAAATCTCAAATCCTTGATATTGTTTATTTAGGAAAAAGATTTGAGTATGATGTTAACGGTAAAGTGCATCTAAAATGAGATTTGTTGTTTATTAATAAGAATGAGTTTAGGAATGTTTTAAAGGATTATGTAATTCAAGAGAATATTAACTAGAGCCAGTAATTCAGGCCAAGTCTGGCGGGCCAGCCTTAATCTGCCCGAACAAAGTTAAGGCTTGGCTTCGCTATATGGGTTTTTTTAAGGGAGTAGAATATTTTAAGTCCGATTTAAATAAGCTCAACTTGAATTGAACCTGATCCCTAAAATTTTTGTCTCTATGTGTATGTAGAGTAGGTAATTTTAGCCCAACCCGAACCCTGCTAAAAAAAATTAGGGTCGAACTTTACTATATGAGCTTGTTCAATAAGGTAAAATACTTTAAACCCGATCCGAATAAGCCTAATCTAAATTGAGCCCAATCCTAATAAGCCTGGCCCGCCCGAATTACCAACTCTAATTTTGATATAATCAAAGTAAAAAATGAGAAAGCAAGAGTGACTACTATTTGTGCTTCATGGAACATCCAAAAAAATTAAGCATGATTTGTCAGCCTAATCAATGTGATTAGTAAGTTGAGGAGGTGTGTGGTTAGAGGGGTCTAATTAGTGCTTTTGGCCTTGATTTTAGCCCTAGATGCAGATCGAAAGTGAAGTCGGGCCATATGGTGAAAGAGAGAGGAAAAAAAAGGGAAGAAAAACCCTTTATGCTACATGTCACAGCATATGGACAATCTGCCATAGCATAGAGGCAATCAGGCGTGATTTGAGCCTCTCTGTGCCACGCGCCATAGCAGGAGGCTGTGTGTGAAGTAAGTTGAATATGTAATTACGGATATGTGAATTCATGTTATGTAATTGATGACTGAGTTGTATGATTATGTGGTATACATACATCGCATAATTATTAGAGGGAGTTCGTCTAGAGAGATGAGTAGTTGGTAAACTCACGGGGTATTAGCAATGACTATTGGAATTGAGAACTTGTCTTAGCACCGACCGTTGGAATTGGAAGTAGCCCTTGTCCCATAGTTGATTCGGGACTCAAACCTAACTAGTCTTCATCGGTTTATGAAAAGGCTAGATAAGGGATACAACATCCCATGGTTGTTAATATTAGGGAAAACTGGATTACACAAGTGAATGAGTTGACCCTGGCCCAATAGCTCCTCATAAGTAGAATGTTAGGTTAATCTATGAAGGACGTAGCTGCCAAATAGCCACTGGTTTCATGTCGAAGGTAACAAGAGGATATAAGATTGGCATTTGATCATACATTTAGAA